CATGGACAGTTATCAGGATCTATACAATATCTATATTACAACACTAACCCTAAGGTCAATGACTATTTATCAGTGATTTAAGATAAATGTTTCAATACCTCATGAGATTAAAAAAAATTATACAAATATTTTGTAAAATGTGTCCACTTTTGTGCTCGTGCCTGGCAGGAAGTTCCTGAATGAATGCCCCAGTGGACTGATCACCCTCCATGAGTTCAGACGTCACTTCTGCAATGGAACCGTGGGAAAAGAGTCAGCGGAGTATGCAGAGCAGATATTCCGCACACTAGATAACAATGGGGTATTGCAAAGCTCAAAACCAAACAAGCTTTGAGGCCTGACATATGTGATGTTTTAAACCTGCAGTTACAGAACACTGGCTTTACAAAACATATGCTGACTTGTAAAAGGTGGAGGCATAACAAAAGACACTGTACTAACAGTGGGAAACATGTTCCAAATGCTGTGACATTACACTAACCTCTCAAGGTCAATGAATATTTATCAAGTGGTTTAAGATGAGAAAATAATTCAACAATATCAGTAGCTTAAAAGTACATTGTCATACTTTCTTTTTGTAATAAGTACAATTGAATCTACTTAAAATCTGACTATTATGCTGAAACATGATTTTTAGAGATTTTGATCCCTAAGGTTAGTCCAAACATGGTTATTATAGTTAAGTTAACTAAAACCATAAAAAAAATCCATTACTAGAAATAAAATATAAAAATCTTAAACTTATTTTTGTCAGCTAGTTGTCAAAGCAATATTTTTCTCGTTTGTATTTAATTTATCTTGATGTACTAAAATAACTCCAATTAAAACTGAAATAAAAATTAAAACAATACAGATATACTGTATATATATACAGTGGGGAAAAAAAGTATTTAGTCAGCCACCAATTGTGCAAGTTCTCCCACTTAAAAAGATGAGAGAGGCCTGTAATTTTCATCATAAAAGCTCAAAACCAAACAAGCTTTGAGGCCTGACACATGTGATGTTTTAAACCTGCAGTTACAGAACACTGGCTTTACAAAACATATGCTGACTTGTAAAAGTTGGAGGCATAACAAAAGACACTGTACTAACAGTGGGAAACATGTTCCAAATGCTGTGACATTACACTAACCTCTCAAGGTCAATGAATATTTAAGTGGTTTAAGATGAGAAAATAATTCAACAATATCAGTAGCTTAAAAGTACATTGTCATACTTTCTTTTTGTAATAAGTACAATTGAATCTACTTAAAATCTGACTATTATGCTGAAACATGATTTTTAGAGATTTTGATCCCTAAGGTTAGTCCAAACATGGTTATTATAGTTAAGTTAACTAAAACCATAAAAAAATCCATTACTAGAAATAAAATATAAAAATCTTAAACTTATTTTTGTCAGCTAGTTGTCAAAGCAATATTTTTCTCGTTTTTATTTAGTTTATCTTGATGTACTAAAATAACTCCAATTAAAACTGAAATAAAAATTAAAACAATACAGATATATATATAAAAAGAAAATCACTGTGTATATACAGTATATATGTATATATATATGTGTATATATATATGTATGTATGTATATTTATTTAGTCATTTAGCAGACGCTTTTATCTAAAGCGACTTACAAATGAGGACAATAAAAGCAGTCAAATTTACGTGATTCTGGATTGCTCCACTAGAGGGCAATATATAATCACAAATTAATATTCTCTCATGCCTGTTCTCACTCAGGCTGTGTACAAGATGAGCATTGCAGCATCACTGACCAAACCTGATCCACTGACTGCTGAAGAATGCACCAATAGGATATTTGTACGGCTGGACAAAGATAACAATGGTAAGCTACATGCTATAAATACAAGCTACAAGCTACATTGCTATCTAAAGTGCCAAAGTTATTTCAACCACTCTTGAATCACTAAACTGCACTAGAAAATGGCAGTTTACAGAAGTACAGTCTCCTTATGTCATTCTTTTTCTTTCCGTCTCTATAGCCATGATCAGTCAAGAGGAATTCATTGAAGGCGTGCTGAATGACGAATGGATCCGAGAGATGTTGGAGTGTGAGCCGAGCACAGTGAAGATGGAGAGGTCTCTCAAAGGCCATGCATTACTATAAAACTCTCTATTCACATTTAGCATAAAGGAGGTCATGGCTGTTACAGCATTGATTGTGATGGGGCTGTTATATATGTCTTGAAGATGAGAAGTTCATGCATTAGTCAGTATAATTATTTTGAATTAAAGGAATAGTTCACCACAAAAATGAAAATTTGTTCACCCTCAGGCTTTCAAGGACATAGATAAATTTCGCTGTACATTACATGCTCGCCAATGGATCCTCTGAAGTGAATGGGTGCCATCAGAATGAGAGAATCCAAACAGCATCACAATAATCCACAAGTAATCCACATGACTCCAGTCCATCAGTTAACATCTTGTGCAGCAAAAAGCTGCGTGTTCATAAGAAACAAATCCATCATTCACTGCAGAAGATCCATTGGTAAGCAAGTGATGTAATGCTAAATTTATCCAAATCTTTTCTGATGAAGAAACAAACTCATCTACATCTTGGATGATGAGGGTGAATACATTTTCAGCTAATTTTTATTTTTGGGTGAACTATTGTTGTAATACAGACCTATAAATTGACTCAAATGAATTCTACTTCTGATGTTAGATGCATATTACATGTATATTTATACTGATTAATTGATTCTTTGAAATAATTTCTGAACACCTCGAATCATTTATCTTTTTATTTATCAGATTATGTATCTTTTCATATAGACCTCGTGAATTTACAAAGTACATCTAAATAGCTACACTCTTAAAAATAAAGGTGCTTCACGATGCCATAGAAGAACCTTTTTGTCTAAATGGTTCCATAAAGAACCTTTAACATCTGAAGAACCTTTCTGTTTCACAAAAGGTTCTTTGTGGTGAAAGAAGGTTCTTCAGATTATAAAAAGGTAAGAAAGAGATGGTTCTTTAAAGATCCTTTGACTGAATGTTTCTTTGTGGAACCAAAAGTGGTTCTTCTATGGCATCGCTTGAAGAACCTGAGTGTACCGTAAATAATGGTTTTACTAGGTTCTTAAAAGGCTGTTTTCAGGATGTTATACTTCACTGCCAAGCACAAGAGTTACAGAACATTTACTGAAAAAACAATTATTAATTAAATATTAGTCTCACCTCCTTAACTTAAGTTGTGTAATGTATTTGGATAATCAATATTCTTTTGAGTTTGATTAGCCCATTGATTACAAAATAGGCCTTCTGAAATAATGGGTCAGATTTTTGTGTCATGTTATAGCTTTGATTGGAGTAAAATACATTTACATACAATCTATTTTTTAACATATTAAGCTACATATTATGTACAGAAAATATGTATTCTGGCTTGATATCTCAGTTTCAGTTCCCTACTGTCTGTATACTACAATGAACAATTGTACAATTGTGTTCTGCAGCATTCCTCTGCGTTTCTCATGAGAATCTGAAAACTTTTGGTCTTGTCAAATTGCAGTTGGTATTTGCATGCCTTATTCCAGCAGCTGTTTACTGACAGCTGAGCAACTGACTTCAGAGGAACGCTTATGACATAAAGATATAGCTTTGGTGAAAATGGCAGGATAATAAAGAAATCTGAACAGAAATGCATTATTCTACTTTACTGCAACACACACTTGTTGGTTTGACTACATTAGTGAGACAAAAATGTTTTAATCTGTTTTATACAGTCTATGGTTTTAATACATTAATCTGGGTAATTGTTTTTATACGTTTATCTAAACCTACCTAACCCTCACACACAGTGTTGGGGAAAGTTACTTTTAAAAGTAATGCATTACAATATTGCGTTACTCCATAAAAAAGTAACTAATTACGGTACTTAGTTACTTTTATGGAAAGTAATGCGTTACGTTACTTTTGCATTACTTTTAAAATCTGGACAGGGCTTGCTTGTTTGTTTTTAAAATAAAAAAGTTATATTTTTGGCAAATATAAAAGCCTTTTCACACCAGAAGTGAAATGAATAAGCCTCAGGCTGAAGGGAAAGTACATTTACGTCCGTACAGTAGAATGCAGAAGAATACATTTCAACACACTTCAGCAATAAAAAAAGACTAGAGTTTGTCTAGAGTAATTTTTGCTTATTAGTACGGTTGAACTGGATCATCGAAGGTCAGAAGCAAAGACATTGGTCAATAGAATGGGATTAAATACATAAAGCATATTTGTGTTGTTTAACATTTAATTATTGCAGGTTTGCGTCATATTCTGAGTTGCATTATTTTTATTCATTTTGAGGAATACTGAATCTGTGTGTGTTTTTTTTGTGAGTGAGTGAGATGAATTAATGCATATTCATATTTATTTTAGATCTAGAGTAACATCTTCTGATTTCTCTCAGCATTGGGACAGGACAGCTGTCAGTCAATAAATTAGAAAAAAAAAGTAACTTGCGTTTCTTATTTGAAAAAAGAAACTCAGATATTCTCTTGTAAATTAAAAAGTAATGCGTTACTTTACTAGTTACTTGAAAAAGTAATCTGATTACGTAACTCGCGTTACTTGTAATGCATTACCCCCAACACTCCTCACACAGATATCCGCATATCAACACAATGTGGCAGATTTATAACGAACACTTCCAAAGTGCTCAAAAGTTTTGTTTTGTTTTTCTGACATGTTTCACCATATTTATGAGTGAAGTACAAATACGACCAAATTACGCAAACACAAACTTCATTTATCATGCGTTACTAATGCTACTATGGCGATGGCTCATCTTGTGAATATTAATTAATAGCGGTGACGCAATTTGGTACCCTTCCTATGGCGAAAAACGATGTTTGAATATTAATTAGATTGCTCCGTGACCATCCAATGGTGAAGACAGGGCTTATGAATATTAAGCAGCAGTCCTTCGCCGTAGTAGGATATTCCCTGCCTGTGACGTCCAACATTCCCACTTTAATTGTCGACATGGCGCTGGCGAGGTGGGAACACCAACTACGGAAAGAGCAGATCTCGTGAAGACAGTAAAAGACAAGGAAAAGCGTCCACGGATTTATATTTCACACTTTTAGACGGCGGTCCAGATTAAGAAGTTATGCTTACAAAGGCTGCATTTATTTGATCAAACATAACATACATTTAAAATAATTGTTTTCAATACGTATTAAAATCTAACTTATTCCTTTGATGGTAAAGGTGAATTTTCGGTATCATTACTCCAGTCTTCAGTGTCACATGATCCTTCAGAAATCATTCTAATATGCTGATTTGGTGCTTGAGAAACATTTCTTATTACTATCAATGTTGAACACAGTTCAATTGGTTAATATTTTTGTGGAAATCATGATACATTTTTTTCATGATTCTTTGATTAATAGAAAGTAGGAAAGATATGTATCAAAGTACTAGGGATGGATGATTTATTGGTAGCTTATGGCTTTTGCCAATCCTGGACATTTTTTTACATTATCAATGTTGAATATTTAATTGTGCATGACATGTTGACATGCATATATATATATATATATATATATATATATATATACACAATACAATAACATGTTATTATTTAATAATAGATTATTTAAATGACTATATTAAAGTCATAATTAGATTGTTTTTGCAACAAACACAGAAGAGACCATCATTGTTCCTGGCATTTCATCTGTAGCCCCGATATCATTTCATGTCATTTGCTTTGTGTAAAAATATACACAGCTACATTTGGATAATTAGACAATATCGAAAAGTAAACCTGCAGAGTTTTGTGCTCGGATGCATCTAAAGGGAACATGACCGTTACTGAACATCTAAACATAAACAACATTTAGCCATTACGAGTGAGAAACTGCTTCAGATGATTCAGTGTATTCAAGGAACTGAAGAAATAATTCAAACTGGTTCATGAACCTATTCAGACCATTTTGCCAACTTGTTTGAACAAATCTTTGAAGTGAATCGACTCAAGAGTAATTAAAAGGTGCTATGTAAGTTTTTGAGCAAAAAAATACCATAGTATGTTTTCAGATATTTAAGAAACATGCTAAGTTAACATACTCGTTTATCTGAAAAACAATGCTACAGTCAGTTATTCTCCTTTGAAAATGTGCGTTCCGGGCCGGAATGTCGGTCTCTGTTTTGGTTTGTGACCTGTCGTGTTTGTGTGTTACGGCCAGGGGTGTGAAGTAACGAATTACAAATACTCACGTTACAGTAATTAAGTCGTTTTTATCAGTAATTGTACTTTGAGTAGTTTAAAAAATTGTGTACTTTTACTTTTACTTGAGTACATTTTAAGTGATGGATCGGTACTTTTACTCCGCTATTTTCCTCCGTTTGTGGTCGTTACATGCTTATTTTAATTTTATTTTTATCCATCAACGTGATTGGATAGAGAGATAGTAATAGGTCTCGTGACTTTCGTCAAATCAAATTGTGCATAGAAAACTTTAACCGCCAACTGTTTATCATGGCTGCTGGAAGTGCATTCTTCAAGCATCAATTCAGTCGCATCTTCCTCTAACTTGATGTTAAGGTAAATTTCGGATTTCTGCTTACTAAATGATGTGTATATATGCTTGCCTATCTACACGGCCTGAAATTTGGTGTGAGGTTGCGGGTATTGCAAACAGTGTTAACTCCCGCAAGTGCCACGTTCGGTAAATTCCCACTCACTTATGAGATGTGCGATCTGCGCTGCCTCTGTCGCGTGTGTTCTACAGCGGTCACTTGGATAAGTCGTTGTTGCTTGTTGAACTTGTTGACTTTTGATGAGTTTGAGCGCGTGATGCGCGCTGTGAAAAAGTGTGTTGGAAACACAAATTGAGGACCAAATCTGTACCTTATTGATGACCCGTGGCGTTAATATACTGCGTCTGTGCCAGCGCGTGATGTAATAAAACTGCAGCTCGTTAATAAACCATGTTATACAATCCGCCTTCATTTAGCAAGTGCATTTGCGCATAAACAATTTTCAAGTTCAACCCTTTTTGTTCCATTCAGTTGTGGATGCTGCTGATTCACCGAGACCGCCGCGGCTCAGCAAAGAGACGTGTGTGTTTTCCTTTAAAAAAGTTTCCCCAGAAATACCTCGCTATTTAATGCATTTTTCCTTACAAATTGTATTATCAGCATAACAATTCGAGTAAATGTGTAAAAGGTATGGCATGAATTTGCCATCCTTCTAGAACAATGTGCATTTATGTTAAAATTGTAACAAATTATCAAGTTTAGTTATTCTTATTTCTTTATTGCAAAATGCTAAAACTGGCACCGTTTTGGAGAGAAATGGGCTCTCATTTTAACCCATATCATGGTGTGTGATGAACTATGAGTTTCTAATGGTGTTTGTATTTGCACCAGGGGCGTAGCCATCATTTCAGAAGTGAGGGGGACAGAAATGTTTTATAAAATTACAGTATAACATTTCTGTAATCTATATAACCTACCGGTCAACAGTTTTTGAACAGTAAGATTTTTAATGTTTTATAAAGAAGTCTCTTCTGCTCACCAAGCCTGCATTTATTTGATCCAAAGTACAGCAAAAGCAGTAATGTTGTGAAATATTTTTACTATTTAAAATAACTGCTTTCATTTATTTCATTTACATTTTTAAATGATTGCTGTGATCAAAGCTGGATTTTCAGCATCATTACTCCAGTCTTCAGTGTCGCATGCTTCAGAAATCATTCTAATATGCTGATTTGCTGCTCAAGAAACCTTTTTATTATTATTATTATTATTAATAATGTTTTTTGAGCAGCAAATCAGAATATCAGAATGATTTCTGAAGGATAGTGTGACTGGTAATGATGCAAAATTTTTTGCTTTGAAATCACTATAAATTACATTTTAAAATATATTCAAATAGAAAACCGTTATT